AAAATAAAAAAAAAAAAGTAGTGAAATGTGTTCTTTTACAGTGATACATAATATATCTATGACATGGCATTCAAACTTTATAACATGAAGACATTAATGAAAGATTTCTGAGACTTTATGTACAGTCTTAAATTATTGCAAAGTTCTCAGTTGAAGACAATGAAATCCTGGAATACAATTCAAGTAACACTGTAAGTAACTCTGTACCTCTCAAAGCAGTTGTCAAACAAAAAAAAACATGCATGTATCCCACTAGGGGGCACTGCATGGGGAAGGCTCTACTTTAGTTTGCTTGTGGGCTCTATCTTGTATGTCCTACAGTTAAGTAGTAATTGACAGGTAAGAGTGTAAATTTGTCTGGAAAATGTCCTTATTTTTTTAAACCTTTTCATGATTCCTATGTATGTTCTCCACTGTTACACCATAATGTTTACCTGTAGTCTGGCCACTAAAAAGTTTTTTCTTTTCTTCCTCTTAATAAAATGGTGAGACCAACATCTAGAGTTTCGGAAACACAGTGCAATTTCTGCTGAGAGCAAAGCTGCAATTTGCAAATATTGTGAGAAGAAATATTATTTTCCAAATGCTAAAAGGATGACAATGACATCCTTGCATCACAGAGATGGCTACACATGTTAAAAATACTTTATGGAATTACATAAGGAGGATCATAATGAAAGTGCAAGTAACTTTTCTCTCATTCAACAAACACTCTTAGTGCTGCTTCTGTTTCTTCACCAGCAGCATCTTAAGTAAGAAAGTGTTGCAAACCACAGCCTCCCAAAAATACACAATACAGTCCCTGTTATTCCATTTGTAATAAAAAATACATTAAAAAAAAAGCAAGTTTAATGAACAAGCTGACTTTTATTTCAAGCATAATACTTTTCTATACACTGCATTTCAGAGTAAAATGACTTTCAGTTTAAAAAACAATTCCGCACTGAATTTTTAAAAAATTTTTCAAAAAATGTCTCAGTGTTTTCCAGGGAAAAAACATCTTTTTCTCATGGCTTCAAAATTTTTCATAACTTTTATATCTTTAATTGCAACCAATCCTGACCCCATGGGCGTAGCATGAGCAGTTGCAGGGGTCTTGACCCCGCGTTTAATCTTAGGGGGCCCACAGCTCACTGCTGTCATCTTACATGCTGCATTTTAACTTCACACAGAGAGAATCCATGTCTGATCCACCTTGTGTCTCCCAGGGCCCCAGCCGAGCTCTGTAATCCAGTCCCAAGATTTCAGCCTGACTCTCCCCAGACCCACAGTCCACACCCCTCCCCCGCTCTCATTGGCTGGGGAGAAACCATGTGTGCCTGAGCTTCCTGGATGGAGTGGAAAATCATGAGCAGCCTGGGACAGGGAAGTGTCCTGTGAGTGTGCTGAGGACAGTGCTTGCTTCTCTGTCACAAAAAACAGCAAGTCAGGAGGAGAGCTTTGCCTGAGAGACTGGACTGGATCATTGTAACTGAGGTAGGAGACAGACACTGCTCTCCTCTGGTTACTGAACTTGACCAGGATTTTCTGTACATCCCCACCCTGGAGTGTCCGCTCATGTGGGACATCAGACTTACAGACACACTGCCCCCCACAGCACCTGGCCTGCAACATTTACAGAAATGTTATTTTAAAAATCCCTTAACATCTCCTGAGGGGTCCCAAGGGGCTGCAGGCTTCAAGGCCCCCAGATTTTATCAATTTAAGCATCATGGGGGGACATGTCATTACCAGGATGGTGGGGGGGAGGGGTACATGTTGTTGCCAGGAAGGGGGCATGTCATTGCCAGTATGGCAGGGGGACGGGGCATGACCTGTCATTGCCAGGTTGGTGGGGGGAGGGGGGTATGTCATTGCCTATACCAGCATCCTGATCACCCCCATACCAGCATCCTGCTCACTGCCGTACCCCATATCAGTATCCTGATCACTGCCATACCCCATATCAGTGTCTTGATCACTGCCGTACTCCATACTAGCATCCTGATCACTGCCATACCCCATACTAGTGTCCTGATCACTGCTATACCCCATACCAGTGTCCTGATCACTTCCATACCCCATACCAGTGTTCTGATCAGCACCATACCCTATACCAGCATCCTGATCACCACCATACCCCATACCAGTGTCCTGATCACTGCCATACCCCATACCAGTGTTCTGATCAGCACCATACCCTATACCAGCATCCTGATCACAGCCATACCCCACACCAATGTCTTGCTCACCACCATATCCCATACCAGCATCCTGCTCACTGCCATGCCAGCATCCTGCTCACCACCATACCCTACACCAGCATCCTGATCACTCCCCTACCCCATACCAGTGTTCTGATCACTGCCATACCCCATACCAGTGTTCTGATCAGCACCATACCCTATACCAGCATCCTGATCACCCCCATACACCATACCAGTGTCTTGCTCACTACCATACCCCATAACAGCATTCTGATCACCGCCATACTCCATACCAGTGTTCTGATCACTGCCGTACTCCATACCAGCATTCTGATCACTTCCATACATCATACCAACATTTTGATCACTGCCATACCCCATACTAGCATCTTGATCACCCCCATACCCTATACCAGTGTCCTGGACACTTCCATACCAGTGTTCGGATCACTGCCATACCCTATACCAGTGTTCTGATCACTGTCATACCCCATACCAGCGTTCTGATCACCCCATATCAGCATCCTGATCACCACCATACACCATACCAGCATCCTGATTACCACCATACCCCATACCAGCATCCTGATCACTGCCATACCCCATACCAGCATCCTGATCACTGCCATACTTCATACCAGCATCCTGATCACTGCCATATGTCATACCAGGGTCCAGCAATTTAGGGTCTTAACTGATCAATTTTAAGATATATATCTCATAGTTTGTAGATTCTATAGCTTTCACACAGACTCAAGTTTGGGTTATTTTTACCCCGAAAATATAGCAGAATACATTTTGGACTAAATTTATGAAGAAAAAATAATCTATTTGCAAAATGTTATAATAAAAGCTAAGCAAAAAATTATTTTTTTTCCAAATTTTCTGTATTTTTTCTTTTATATAGCAAAAAAATAAAAAGCCCAGTGGTGATCAAATACCCCAAAAGAAAGCACTATCTATCTCAAAAAAACGATAAAAATTTCATGGGTACAGTGGTGCATGACTGAGTAATTGTCTCTCAAATTGTGATAGTGCTGAAAGCTGAAAATTGGCCTGGACTGAAAAGAGGTGAAAGTGTCCAGAATTTAAGTGGTTAAATAGTGATTATCTTAGTTTATAATAGGTGTTTCTTTCATATTTCAGGATGTCAGTAAGAAATGTTCTCCATTAGTACATTTTTCATACCTTGTCAATAAAAACAGTAGAGGGAAGTTGACAACCCTTGGGGGTAGCATCTTTCATTACCTGAAATGGGTAGGGCATCTATCATTACTTGAAGGGGGTGGAGGGGGCAACAGTTATTACCTGGTAGAAGAAAGGGGGCCATCTGTCATTACCTGGAGGGAGGACATTTTGATTTGTTACTGGGGGGATGTGTTATTACGATGAAGGGAAGCCATCTGTCTTTAGAGGAGGAGGGGGTCATCTCAGATTACCTGAAGGAGGGCTGTAGTGACACAAGGTGTTTAGGAGATAACATGGCAGAGGAGAGATGATTTGGGTTTGAGGAAATTTTCTCACACTTAGCCCATTAGTTTTAGGGTGTGTTTTGTGGGTAAATCTGTTTGCATTCTGCTTATTTATTTGGGGTGCTGGGAGAGAGGAGACCCGCTCACAGTCTGCAAAATAATTTGGAGTCTAGGATGGGGGGGAGATCTGCTAGCACTCTGCTAATGCATGTGGGGGCACAGATTGAAAGACACATGCTGATAGGGGCACAAATTGCTGTGGCGGAGCAGGTATTGATTGATATAGATAGGTTTTGTTGGTCATATGCAGCACTGGGTTGATGGTAATTATGGTTTTATTTTTTAGTGATCAGAATGGCTGATATTGCTGGGTTTAGCAGTTCTGCAGTAGAAGAGCACAGACCATCCACTCACAGTAAGAAGCAGCATGGATTTTGTGTCTTCGCTGAATCAAGTACTATGATCATGATGGGAGCATTTTGTAGGGTCATATACTCTATTTCTACGCTATTACATTTTATTTTACATTCGTTAAATGCAAAAATAACCTTTTTTACATACAGCCAGACCCCCTAACTTTTGTCTTTGGTTCTGCTATTTTGATGGCCCTGCTATGTACCATACTGTACAAAAGTCTTAGGCAGGTGTGATGCTGTAAATGAAGAAGGCTTTCAGACATCGAAGTGTTAATAGTTTATTTTTTATTAAAAAAAAAACAAAAGTAAATGAACAGAGAAAAGAGAAATCCAAATCCAATCAATATTTGGTGTGACCTCCCCCTCTTTGCCTACTTCTAGGTACATGTGCACACAGTTTTTGAAGGAACTCGGCAGGTAGGCTGTTCCAAACATTTTGGAGAACTAACCACAGATCTTCTGTGGATGTCGGCTGCCTCAATTCCTTCTGTCTCTTCATGCAATCCCAGACAGACTCTGTGATGGTGAGATCAGGGCTCTGTGGGGGCCAAACCATCACTTTCAGCATTCCTTGTTCTTCCTGACTTGCATGACAAGTCACTTCATTGTGAACTAGGGCTAAATGTGTTTTGGGGTAAGAACTACTCTGAATAAATATGTATATATTTTTTAAACTGTTTATTGGTGTATGCTTTGTGGCCTCTGACTTTTTGCAGCTCACTGTGAATTACATCTTCTCCTCTTGTGTACTAGGCACTCACACATATATATATATATATATATATATATATACACACTATTACCAAAAGTATTGGGACACCCCTCCAAATCATTGGATTCAGGTGTTCCAATCACCTCCATGGCCACAGGTGTATGAAATCAGGCACCTAGGCATGCAGACTGCTTCTACAAACATTTGTAAAAGAATGGGGCGCTCTCAGGAGCTCAGTGAATTCACGCATGGTACCGTGATAGGTTGCCACCTGTGCAATAAGTTCATCCATGAAATTTCCTTGCTACTAAATATTCCACAGTCAACTGTTAGTGATATTATAATAAAGTGGAAGCAACTGGGAACAACAGCAACTCAGCCACAAAGTGGTAGGCCACGTAAAATGACAGAGTGGGGTGAGCGCATACTGAAGTGCACAGAAGTGCAACGCAAAGCGTCGGATGCAGTGGTGTAAAGCATGCTGCCACTGGACTCTAGAGCAGTGGAGACGTGTTTTCTGGAGTGACCAATCACGCTTCTCTGCCTGGCAATCTGATAGACATGTTTTGGTTTCGCGTTTGCCAGGAAAACGGTACTTGCTTGACTGCATTGTGCCAAGTGTAAAGTTTGGGGAGGGAGGGGGGATTATGGTGTGGGGTTGTTTTTCAGGGGTTGGCCTTGGCCCCTTAGTTCCAGTGAAGGGAACTCTTAAGGCGTCAGCATACAAAGACATTTTGGACAATTTCATGCTCCCAACTTTGTGAGAACAGTTTGGGGATGGCCCTTTCCTGTTCCAACATGACTGTGCACCAGTGCACAAAGCAAGGTCCATAAAGATATGGATGAGCAAGTTTGGGGTGGAGGAACTTGACTGGCCTGCAGAGAGTCCTGTTCTCAACCATCTTTGGGATGAATTAGAGCAGAGGCTGTGATCCAGGCCTCTTGTCCGACATAAGTGCCTGAACTCACAAATGTGCTTCTGGAAGAATGGTCAAACATTCCTATAGACACGCGCCTAAACCTTATGGACAGCCTTCCCAAAAGAGTTGAAGCTGTTATAGCTGCAAAGGGTAGGCCAACTCAATATTGAGCCCTACTGACTAAGACTGGGATGCCAATAAAGTTCATTTGCGTGTAAAGACAGGCGTCCCAATACTTTTGGCAATAAAGTGTATGTCATCCTAACATATTCCATCAGTGTAAAATTTTCCTGGCCCTACACTTAGCACTGTGAGTTTTCCTGGTTTTACCAGGACTTTAGGAAGGTTATCATTGAAATAAAAACTAATTACATAAATCTAGAAGAAATAAAAAAAACTGTCACTGCAAGACAAGAGAAAAAAAATCAGAGTGAAGTGATGACTCAGGTTGATTGGCAGTTTGTTTTTTTGTTTTACTCCTAATTAAGCTTCTATCCCTATGGGGTATTCAACAACACTATTATTATTATTATTATTATTATTATTATTATAATACAGGATTTATATAGTGCCAACAGTTTACACAGCACTTTACAACATAAAGGCAGACAGTACAATTACAACACAAATTAATACAGGAGGATTCAGAGGGCTCTGCTCATTAGAGCTTACAATCTAAGAGGGAGGATCGAGAGATACAAAAGGTAATAACTGTGGGGGATGGGCTGATGGACAAAATACATGTACAGTTGTTAGTTGAGGGAAGGATAGGCCTCTCTGAAGAGATGAGTTTTCAGGGATAGTCTGAAGCTGGACAGAGATGGAGATAGTTGGACACATTGGGGAAGGGAGTTCCAGAGGATAAGAGTGGCTCTGGAGAAGTACTGGAGGTGAGCATGGGAGGAGGTGACAAGGAAGCTAGAGAGCAGGTCTTAGGAAGAACAAAAAGAACAATTTGGTTGATGTTTTGAGACCAGGTTAGTGATGTAACTAGGGTCTAAGTTGTGGATGGCTTTATAAATTGTTGTAAGTATCTTGAATTTTATTTGTTGGGTGAGTGGGAAAGTGGCAAAGAGGGGTGGCAGACACTGAATGGTTGGTAAGGTGGATGAGTCTGGCAGCAGCATTCATGATGGACTGGAGGAGAGATAGCCTATGCAAAGGTAAGCCAGTGAGGAGGGAGTTGCAGTAGTCAAAGCAGGATATGACCAGGAGTGAGTTATAAGCTTTGTGGTGTCAGTGGTTAGGAAGGGGTGTACCTTAGAGATGTTGTGGAGGTTGAGGCGGCAAGCTTTGGACAGTGATTGGATATGGGGCTGAAAGGATAGCTCAGAGTCCAGGATTACACCTAGCACCCTGGCATGTGGAGACGGGTTGATGGTTGAGCCATTGATTTTGGCAGAGCAGTCAGTGGAAGGGGCACATAGGGGAGGGAATATTAGGAGCTCAGTTTTTGGATAGATTAATTTTCAGGAAGTGGTGTTACATCCTGGCTGATATGTCTGTTAGTAAATTAGTGATACGTGAGGAGACTGATGGAGTGAGCTGAGGGGTAGAGAGATAGATTTGGGTGTCATCAGCATAGAAATGGTTTTGAAAGCCATGGAAGGCAATCAGCTGACCCAGAGAGGAGGTGTAAATTGAGAATAGGAGGGGTCCCAGAACAGAGCCTTGGGGGACCCCAATGGAGAAAGGATGAGTAGAAGAGGAAGTTAAATTATAAGTGATACTGAAGGTGCAGTGGGATAGGTAGGATGAGAACCAACAAAGAGCACAATCAAGGAGACCAAAGGAGTAGATTTTTTTTTTTGAGGAGGGAGTGATCCACTGTGTCAAAGACAGCAGAGAGGTCCAGCAGTAACGGTACAGAATGGTGTCCATTGGCTTTAGCCATTAGTAGATTGTTTGTAAGTTTGAGGAGAACAGTTTCCGTGGAGTGCTAAGAGCGAAATCTAGACTGAAGTGGATCAAGAAGGCTTATTCTCAGTGAGGTGGTTGCTCAGCTGGTTGTAGACCAGGCGTTTAAGGAGTTTGGAGGAAAAAGGGAGAAAGGAGATGGGTCATAGTTTGTTAAGATTGGTGAGATCTAGTGAGGGATTTTTAAGTATGGGCATTACTAGTGCATGTTTTAGAAAATTGGGGAAGATGCCGGGAAGAGAGGGAGAGATTGAAGATGTGAGTTAGAGAGTGTAGGATAGAGCCAGAGGGTGACTGTAGCATTTGTGACAGAACAGGGTCTAGGGGGCATGTGGTTAGGTGGGCATTAGAAAAAAATTTAGCAACCTCGTCTATAGTAGTGAAGTTGAATGCGGGAAGTAGTGATTAGTAGGGGAGGTATTTGCGCGTCGGAGTTCTCCTCACAAATTGTATTGATTTTCTTTTTGAAATGATTGCCTATCTCATGAGCAGTGAGTGAGTTAGTGGGCGCAGGATGGAGAAGAGAGTTGAAGGTAGAAATGAGTTGACAGGGACTTAGAATTAGTCTTACGCCACAGGTGCTCAAGAACGTGGCTATGTTTTTCTATCTGTTTGCCAAGGTTGTAGGGGTTTGGGGCCTGTCTGTGTATGTAGTGATGGATGTGAGCTTGTCTAGGGAGGATGACAGTGAACTGCTGTAGACAGAAGTGGCTAGATCTGGACAGGACACAGGGATAATATTTTGTCATAGAGGTGGTCAGTAGCAGAGTAGAGAAGAGAAGGGTTGAGGTGTCGAAAGTTTCTATGGGTAACTGTCAGGTGGTTGAAGGGAGAGGAGGTGGGAGATAGGGAGAGAGTGAAGCTAATAAGGTGGTGATTAGAGAGTGGGAGAGGGTTGTTGGAGAGTTTGCACGGAGTGTATAGATGGGAGAATACAAGGTCAAGGGTGTTGCCATCGGAGTGAGTTGAAGCCTGTATCCATTGCTTCAGGCCAAAAAAGGAGGCTAGATTAAGAAGTTTAGAAGTAGCAGGAGTGTTAGCATTAAAAGGGATGTTGGAGTAGCTGAGAACGATAGTGGAGATTTCTTCTTGTCTCTCCATCCTAAAATAAACAGCCTTTCCAAACTTGGTGAACAGGTATTCAAAAGAATTAGAGAGGCACATCCAAATGTGGACAGCATTTAAAAAAAAATCATGTTGGTTAAAAATAGTGTTATTTACTGGTGTTTTGTTTTTCTATACACTTGTTTACAGAACTAACACTTAATATCAGGATCATGTCATCTTGCAGTCATATGAGTGGGTCACAGAAGCGTAAAAAAAAGAAGCAACAAAAGGAGAATGTAAAAAAATTACCACAAATAACTAGTTTTTTTTAACCAACCTACTGCTGTAAGTGCATCGTGTGGTATTGCAGGACCTAAACACAATGCTCCAGTAAAGGTCCAAGTATTGAAACTGATTTAGAAGCACTGGCATCTCCACCATCACTTGATATTGGTAGTCTGGATGAAGGCTGCAGCCCTAATGCAGGAACAGAGCAACCACTAGCCAGCATCAGTCAGTCTGACTCAGAGACGCAGATACAAACTGCTGCTTACAAAAATATTTTAGCAGAAAAACATGCCACTGACAGAGGCCATTATCCACAATCACTGATGCAAGCATTAAACGGTTTATTATTGAAAATGGTCCATGGAAACCAAAATAACCATTTCCAAGAGCTGACAAAGATGGGAGATGTTTCTCTGCCAACTTTTATGAGAGAATCACTAAGACAGGCCTTAAAATACAGATTACGTGATTGTGTTATTTGCCAAAACTTAATGTAGCCTACTGTGAGCCCTGCTGGTTGTTCTGTGAAAAAAACAGGGATTTGAACCCAGGTGGTCAAAGGGCATCCAAAAATGGCAAATGCTGTCAGCAAGCATAAAAAAGCATGACTCTAGCAAAGCGCACATGGAGGCATGTATAGTTTATGACCATTGGAGACGTCACAAAACAATAGATGAAGAAAACAAAAAAAAATTGGAAAAGAGTTTAATTTTTGGAGAAGATATTGCACAGAATTGTCAATGTCACTCTGACAATGGCTATTGCCAACCTTCCTTTCCGTGGTCACCAAAAGCATCTAGAGGAAATGAACAATGGAAATTTCCTCTTCATAATAGTTTGCCACATATGATCCTGTTCTCAAAGAATTGCTGCAATTACCCCAGTGGACTGTTAACCACGTTCCCTCCATCCTATAGTAGTAATACTGCTACAGGCGACAGGGCTGCGCAAAATCATGTATATATACGTGATTTGCATTTCCGGGTAGGGGGCTTGAGTGCCGCCCTACCTGCACCTCTATTGGTGGCTAGGGATGTCAATCGCCAGGTTCCGCCTGGCGATTCCTGGCCGGCACTCTGCGATCATCGGGTAACGCTGACAGGGGTTGCTGTGCAGAGAGATGCACAACAGCAGGTCTCCCTGGTAAAACACAGCACACAGTAAAAACAAACACAGCACACAGTTAACCCTTTGATCGCCCTAGATCAAACCCCTTCTTGCACAGTGTTATTAGTACAGTGTCAGTGCTTTTTATTAGCACTGATCACTGTATTAGTGTCACTGGGGATGTCAGTGGCAGTTAGTCAGTTTCCACCCAGTGTCAGAATGCCTGCCGCTGCTTTGCAGTCCTGCTATAAGTCATCATTACTAGTGAAGAAAAAAATTGAGTATATATACTGCCATTTGTAGATGCTATAACTTTCACGTAAACCAAATATTATTGGGATATTTTTTATCAAAGACATGTAGCAGAATACATTTTGGCCAAAATTTATGACAAAATTAGATTTTTTTATTGGATATGTTTTATAGCAAAAAGTGAAAAATATTGTTTTTTTTTTCAAAATAGTTGTTTATAGCACACAAAAAATAAAAGCTCTATTGGTGGGGGAAAA